GGGGCGTCTCCATGCTCACCCTTGGGGAGCTCGACCCCGGGGACCCGAGTGATCCGGGTTATTGCCCTTCGGGGGCTTGAGACATGGGCTCCTCAGGACTGCCGGTGAACGCGCCCCGTTGAACACGCCTACCGCATCGCGTCGCCCCGGTGTGACGCGGTGCGTCCCCTATCCATAACATTAAAGATGTCCGCTTCATCCGCCTACGTCCCCTCTCTCTTTCTTCGTCGCACCGACCGAGGTCGCGCTTGGAGTCGTGGCTCCTACCCGCCTCTCCATTCCGGAGGGAGGGGCGGTTGAGAAGCTCGTTAAGTTAGTTGCATTCGGTCTCCGACCCTCCGGAAGCGTGGTGCCGTCGGGTGAGCGCGGGGCCGACGACCCATTCCTCTTCGCTACCGGGTCCCGTACCGGTGTCCTTTTCGGCTCTCGAACGGAGGGCGGCGGGCCATCTGACGTCGTTTCGATGCGCCTTGTGCATTGTGGTCCGTCCCCGTGCCGGCCAACCCAGACCCTAAGTCACAGTCGGGATGCCCGCTCGGTCGTAACTCCTTTCGTATTCCATCTCGTCGGCGTTCGGCCGTCGACGTTCTCTTGCTCCCACTGCGCTCGATACGCAGAATCTTCTTCTCTTGCTGTGTCGACGCTCCTCATCCCTAAATGCATTCGATCGCGCTCCTTCGAGCGGTGTCCAACGGCAGCAACGAAGGAGAGCGACGCGGTTCGGGTGCCGTCATGGTTCGTCTGACCCTAAGCGGTGGCGTGGAGATGGAGGCGCTTAGTCTCCGCGATGCCCTTGCGGCTAAAAAAAGAGAACATCGTGGAGTATCGGCGGGATCGACGCGGGCCGTCGTGGGTTTGAGCTCTCCGGCGTCCCTCGCCGTCGGCGGCGAGGGCTCGAAAGCGCGGGATCGACTCGCGTTCGTCTTCTCCTATTCCGTGGCGGCCCGGTCCTTCGTCGCTCGCGGGAGGACGGCTCGGGCCAGTCGCTCAACCGGTGCGTGGTCGGCCGCTCAAGGAGGGGAATAGGGGCAGGGGCCGATCGGACGGCGAGGCGCGCGGGCGGCGCCGTGCCGCGTCTTCCCGGACGGAATTCGCCTCGGTCGCGCGTCCCGGGTCTTCTTTGGGTCTTCGTCTCGTACGTTAGGCCTGGTGCGACCCGTGTCCTGTATGCGGGAAATCGAAGGAGACGTGCGAAGCGCAGTGGAGATGTTAGAGGCGCCAGCTGTCGGGGATTCGCGTTCTACCGCGCCTCTCGCCCTCGACGGCGGGGAGGGCGCGGGCTCGAACGCGCGGGAGCAGCTCGCCGGAGAGCGGCTCGGGCATCTCGCGTGATTGGTACGCGGTCGGATGCGTGCGGAGGTGACTGTGGATGAAAGCCGTTCGGTCGGCTTGGGGGTGTCGGAGCCGGGATTGCGCGGCGTCCGCTTGTCGTATTTGCACCTCCCTCCCCTTTGGTGAGGGGGCAGACGTGTGTACCGCCTGTCCGGTACCCGTTGTACCCTAGCTCAGCGCCGTCGGCCTTCTCCTTTCTTTCGGTATGGCGTACAGTACCCCCGTGCGCCATGCACGTGCTGGTGTAATTGCCACCGTTGATTTTTCGTTATTTTAGTGGGACCGTGGCGGGGTGATTTGGTGATGACGCAAGCGGTGTTGGCGCATGGCGCGCACCTCCGGCGCCGCTCACGTGTAACGTTCTCATCCCTCGTAATTTTCCTTATTACGGGGCATGTCTCGGCGGCGGTTTTGAAGTGTCTCGCGTCCGTGCGCATATATTGGTGCCTCTCCGACTGAGTTGCTCTCGTTTCCTCGCTCTTATGGAACGGCCCTAGCGCGCGTTCTCTTGAAGCCGCTCTCCTCGCCTGCGCGTCTGCTTGCGCGTTTCGCGCGTCTTCTCGCGCACAACCCAAACCGAAAGGACCATGATCCGGTCTTCTGCCGGGCTGTCTAACCCGGATGCTGATTGATGGCTCGCCGTGAGCTTCAACCTTCTCGGATATGCCGAGACAAAAGCGACGGGCATTTTGGTCGCTAGTTCCGCCCACCGAGGGGTTGTCTTGATTCCACCTCTGATCGCTTCGTTCGTCAGGCGCCCCTCCTCGCCGTGGTGGCTGGACTTAACGGATCGTCCAGCAATCCTGTTCGGGGGAGGTCGTCCGACTTTTCCGATCCGAACGAGGTTTTGCGGTCCTCGTAATGTCGGTCATTACGAGGGCCCAACATTTTTTTTCAGGCAGTTCGTACTTTCCTGTTCTTATGTATCGCGTCCTTGACGTCCGAGAAGTCAAGACGACTTGACTAGAACACGTCCCCGGCTGTGACTCTCCGATAGGGTCTGCCGTCCTCCTTCGCTTCCCGTTTTCGTCTGTTCGTGCAGGCTGTGGTTAATCCGCGAAGGAGCGGTTGAGGGCCCTCCCCTTAAGCGTGAACGTCCGCGTTCACGGTTTGGGTGAGGTCTCTGCCGGTACGTCTCCGGAGGCGTTGGGCGTAACGAGACACCAACTCCTCCGGGACGTGAGTCCGCGCAGTCCAAGTGGGCGCGTCGTAATCCGCCCACTTGATGAGGAACTCCGTAGTTCCGTCTTCCATAACTCGATGTCTCAGTAGCCGTTCGACGGCATACTGCGTTCCAGCGGTGACCTTATCGGCGAGGTCCCGCGGGGTCGTCGTACTTGCTCGTGGCGCGTCTATCGGAGGCGGCGCGTACACGCAGCGGTCGGCGGAGACTCGCTCGGTGACCCCATCACGATCGATCGTGATGGTTCGGCGGTCATTGGCGAGCACGCGGTAGGGTCCGACCGCGGGCGAGGCGAGCTTGTTCGATGTCTTAGCCCCATCGGTGGGGTTGAGATAAACGTATTTTCCGGGACGGAGACGGGAATTAATACGTCGTATGTGTTTATCGAAGTCGCGCTTGTAGCGAGCCTGCGTGCGACGCAGGCTCCCGTAGGCCTTCTGGATAGTCGAATCCAAGGTCTTGAGGAACTCGGCACGTTGGTTCCCCCTATCGGAGGGCGGCGCGTCGCCGTCCGCCCGTCGGAGAGAAAACTCCGGCGGTGGCCTGCTGAGCACGAGCTCAAACGGCGTGGTGCGTGTGGTGCGATGTACGTGGGAGTTGTACGCATACGTAAGCGGCCCCACGTACAAATCCCAGTCGTCCTGGTGTTCACCCACGTAGTTCTGCAGCATCGAGGCGATTGTTCGGTTATAACGCTCGACTTGCCCGTTCGTCTGGGGATGGTACGCCGAAGTGTACAAATTCGTTGTCCCCAGAACGCGGCACGTGCTGTGGAACAACTTGGCATTAAACTGAGGGCCGTTGTCCGAAAGCAACGTGCGAGGGACGCCATACTTGAACACCCACGAGTCGCAGAACGCAACTGCGACCGTGTGCGCTGTTATCGTGCGGAGCGCAACGACTTGCGTTAGCTTACTGAAGCGGTCCGTAATCACGAGCAGGAACCGTTTTCCTGTCTTCGTCTTGGGGAGCGGCCCCAAGATGTCGATCGCGAGGCTCTCGAGGGGCCTCGTAGCTGGAAACAATCTCAATCGGTTGAGATGTTTCCTCAGCTTCACCCGGTTCATCGCGCAGGTTCGACACCCTCGCACCGTGGCTGCGACGTCTGCAGCCAGGGGGGGCCAGTAGTACTCGCGTCGAAGTGCGTAGTACATACGGTTCTGGCCCGGGTGCCCCGCGATGGCCGGGTTGTGGCACAGGCGAAGGAGCCTGGCGCGGAGCGTCCGAGGCACCACGACCTGAACGATATCAGGGTCGAAGGGGTGTCTCCGCTTCAGCACCCCTTTGTGGTCCTCGAAGAACGCGGTGTCCCGGGACTCTGACTGTCGTGCCAAAACGGTTTGGCAGAAGTCATCCACGCGTTGCTCCTCAGCTATCTCCTCTATCGTAAGAGGGGCCGGAAGGTCGTCCTGCGGTGGGGCGACCGGGGAGTCGAGCGCGCCAGCCTCGGGGTCTTCGGCGTGCTGGATGTCGGCGGCGTCGAACTCGTCGGTCTCCTACCAAAACGAATTGGGTCCTTGGAGAGCGGGGTCTTCGTCGTCACCTCGCGGTTCGTCGCGCGTCCGTGCGCGCGACCTTGTTCGGGCTTCAGCTTGATTCCGTGTCGTTACGAAGACATGGACGGCCTGACGATCACAGCTCGCGGTACAAGCGTGGTCCGCGAGCTCGTTCGATACGTCTCGAACTGTCGTGCCCCCGTCGAAAGTGGGGATGTCGTCATCCACCTCGACGGTGGAGCGAAGGTCATCGGCGACCTTCGGCGACACGAGTCGTGACAGGGCATCGGGCACCTGATGCACGCGTCCGGGGCGGTACTGAATGGTGAAATCGTATTCAGCCAGACGTAGCCGCCACCGGGTGAGTATTCCGGAACTCTCGGTGAGGGACATGAGCCATCGAAGGGCGTCATGGTCCGTCCGTACGGTGAACTTCGTGCCTTCTACGTACGGCCGTAGTGTGCGGACGGCCCACACTACGGCAAAGCACTCGCGTTCGGTAGCGCTGTAGTTGCGCTCACTATCGGACAGTGAGTACGACCAATACCCCACGGGGCGCCAGTCGTTCGGCTCTTCGTGCTCCTGAAGTAAGGTGCAGCCGAGTTGGTAGGCACTCGCGTCGGTGTCTATCATGTACGGACGACCGTGCCGGGGCAACGCGAGGATCGGCGGAGCGATCATGCACTTATTAAGGTTCTCGAACGCCTGAAGTTGCAGCTCCGTGGGGTTATAGAAATCGGGATCCGAATCCTTGCGCGTCATGTCGGTCAGAGGACGTGCAATCTTAGCGAACCCCTTAACGAATCGGCGGTATACGTTACACGCCCCGAGGAACGAGCGCACTTGCGTCAAAGTCCTCGGGAACGTGAACGTCTTGAAAGCGTCGGCCGCCGTATCGGCCACGCTCAACTTGCCTGGGGAGATGACGTGCCCCAGGTAGTGCACCTTCGGTCGGAAGAAGCTGCCTTTCTTGAGCTTAATTCAACCGTATGCCCTTCGGGCTGATGAACGCCCCGGCCACCTTTCAACGTATGTTGGATATCCTCCTCTCAGGCTATCGCTGGAAGAGCTGTTTCATCTACCTTGACGATATCATAATCTTCTCCAAGGATTATGACACGCACCTCAAAAATGTGGACGTAATACTCCGTGCTCTGCAGCAGGAGGGATTATCACTTAAACTTAACAAGTGCAGGTTTTTTCAGGACTCTGTCGAGTACCTGGGTCATATCATTCGACCGGGCGAACTCGACGTCCACCCGAAGAATGTGAAAGCGCTCTCAGAAGCGACTCCCACGGACCCAGACCGAGCTGCGCTCATTCTTGGGAATGTGTAATGTCTACCGACGTTTCATCGATCATTTCGCTAAGATAGCGGCGCCCCTTACGGCTATGCTCCGAAAAGGAGGGCCGGATGTCCTTCCCAATCTGGATAAAGAGCAGACCACGGCCTTCCAGACACTGAAGGAGTGCCTAATTTCGCCACCAGTCTTAAAACTCCCAAGACTGGGGCGCCCCTACTCGCTGGATACGGATGCATCAGACGCTCAGTTGGGCTGCACACTACTGCAGACCCACGAGGATGGACACCGATACCCTGTCGGGTATTGGTCACGCACGCTCTCGTCAGCGGAATGCAACTACTCGACAACCGAGAAGGAATGCCTCGCCATCGTATGGGCGGTACAGACGCTCCGCCCATACCTGGAAAGGGAGCGGTTCACGGTCAACTCCGACCACCACTCCCTGCGGAGGCTGATGAACCTCGCCGATGCCAGTGGCCGACTTGCCCGGTGGCGCTTGCGCCTTGCCGAATATGACTCCGATGTAACTTACGTGAAGGGAATCAAGAACTGCCTCGCCGATGCGCTGAGCCGTATCCCATCTACGGGGGGTACGACTGTCCCGATCGACGAAGAAATTCCTTGCTACTCCGTCATGAATTTCGACGATGAGCCTCAGCATCACGAGGAGACCTACGACCCCACCGACGTCGAAATTTCCGCGGGCTGCTACGCGCTGGACCCTCCGGCCTCTATGGCCGCCATAACTCACGAAGACTTCTCTCGTGAACAGCACTCCGATCCATTTTGTAAGGAGGTGACTTCCCGTCTTGAGAAGGGGGAGGGGTTCGCTGAATTGCGCCGGTCCCGATTCTTCGTGAATCAGGAACGGCTGGTCTGCCGGAAAGCCCACCTCGACGGCGTGGAACAGATCGTAGTACCCACAACCCTCCGGGAAAGGTTGTTGTACTTGTCGCATTATCCCGCCACCTCCGGTCACCTGGGAGGCAGGCGATTGTTCTATACGCTAAGACAGCGGTTCTATTGGCCAAGCATGTCGGTGGACTCCTACTCGACCGTAAGAATGTGTCCCGACTGCGCGAAGGCACGCATCAATCTGCGGAAGCACAACTCTGAGTTGAAGACATTTCCTCCGTCAGGGCCCCTGGAGTACATCGCCATCGATATTCTCGGCGAACTTCCCCGTACACCAAGAGGAAACCGTTACCTCTTGGTGATGACGGACAGATACTCCAAGCTGACCAGGACGGTCCCGCTCAAGAGGATTACCGCTGAAACGGTTGCGCAAGCGTTCATTTCCCACTGGGTGTTCGTATACGGCGCCCCAGTGAAACTTCTCTCCGATAACGGAGGACAATTCACCTCGAGATTTTTCCTCGCCGTGTGCAAGATACTCTCAATTGAGAGCGGGTTCACCACGGCCTATCACCCCCAAACAAATGGGCAGGTGGAAAGATTCAACCGGACGTTGGTATCCACCCTCCGGCATTACCTCGCCGATAATCAACGTGACTGGGATCAGTACACGGATGCGCTGACGTACGGCTATTATTGCACGGCGAACAGAATGATCGGTATGCGGCCGTTCGACCTGGTATTATCCGGGACCCCGAGTCCGTTATCCCTGCAACAAACGCCGCTGTTGGACCCATCCGCCTCAAGGGTGCAGGTCAAGATGCGCTACCTAGCGTGGCTCCGCAGCCTGATATCGACGGCCAGCCGCAACTTGCTGGCCGGACAGGAGCGGTATAAGAACGATTTCGATAATCGGATACGCCACCTCACCCCGGACTATCGGGTGGGGGATCAGGTACTCGTGAACTGCGAGGCTGCGCTACGCTCCAAGAAGAAAACGGACAAGGACCGGGTTAACAATAAGCCCGCACAGCGAACCGAGGGACCCTTCCCTGTCGTACAGGTAGACGACCACACCGTCACTATCTTACGGGGGACGGGACCGAAGGACTGGCTCTCTCGCGACCGGGTCGTCACGTCACCCCCGCTTCGTAGCAACGTGACAGACCCCCCGCTGGGACCGGGGTCCTCAAACGGGGAAGACGAAAACCTCCCCGACGCGACCCCTTCGGAAGGGACCCCCGCGACACCGGCGCTCGCAAGGCCGCGGCCGCCGGGGCTGATGGACGCCGTCATCGGCGGAGGAACCGAGGACGCCCTGACACGTCTCGCTGGGTTCCGCTCTCGAATCGGGGCAAACCGCCCCGAAACAGCGAACCACCCCCTGCCGCCGGACTCAAGACCCCAAACGAAGGACACGCGTCCCGTTACGCGCTGGCAAACGGCGAGGGAACCCCACGAGCCAACAGTGGACCCCACGGAACCACTCGCGCCCCGCCGCGACAGGGCCTCCGCTCCCCCGGCGACCGATCCCGCTCACCGCGCGTTCATCTCGTCGGGCGCGGCGCACCTGGCCGCGAGGGGCACGTTCCGACCCGACGCCTTCCGCGTACCTCTACGCGTGCCACCGGGGCAGGCCCTCCCTCCTGATTCCTCTGCGGGAGACCCCACCGACACCTACGTCGTGCAATCGCTAACCGGGCACGGGCCGGGAGATGACGGGCTCCCCCTGTTTCGCGTACGTTGGTACGGGTACAGCGACGCCGAGTCGACCTGGGAGCCCGCCCGTCATATCGACTACAACACGGTGGCGCGATATTGCCGAAGGAAGCAGGTACCAATCCCCGACCGCACTCTATGGGGGCATCCCGGCAGCGTGGGAATCGGGAATTAGAGGGATGGATCGCGCCCCAGCACCTCGGTTGAGGTACGATAGCCTACTGAGGAACCCCTGGAAACACGCGACGCGTCGACGCGGACCGCCGCCGGACGCCCCAGCCAGCCACGGCCGCCCACCTGTTACATTTGATTTTTCGAGTTTTTGAATTTTTTCGAAGTGGGTTTATTTTCGCAAATTTTCGGGAAGTTCCCCTGCCGGACGAGGACGGACCACCGACCCGTCCCGTCGGTTTTTGTTGGCAGTGTCTCCTCCCCCGCCGTACAGCGGGTATCTCCCCGCCCCCCGCGCGGGGACAGCAGCCGCGCGCGCTCCGGTGCGAGCACCCCTGTGGACCCCCCTCACGACGGAGCCGCCCCCTTCCGCGGCGCGGAGGTCTCCCCGCGACGCCCGGCATGGTGCCACACCCCGCGCTCTCGCGGTCCGCCACTCCTCTGCAGGGAGAAACTACTCGCGTCGAGACGAGCTCCTGCCGGCGTCGGGCGGAATCACCGCCCCCCCCCTCCGCCAGAGCGCAGAAGACTTGCTCCTCGACGAAGAAGTGGCGTTCAACGCGCCGGTAGCGCGTATGGCCCCTTCCCGCCATAGGGCTGGGAGAGAGATAGCGTAGCTATCCCAGACAGCATGGACCTCCCCACCGCCGAAGGGCAACGTCCCCTGGGGACCGCCGGCGGGGTCGGCGCGCGCAACCGCGACTGGACACCCTCGGCTCGCTGAAAGGGGGGGACACCGCGCCCCCCCCCTCTTCCACTCGATGGACGGTGGTACCGCCCACGACCTCCGCGACTCCCCTAATGGTGCGCCAATGGCCGACGACCCGCCTTCGCGGGTCGCCGTGTAGTCGTTCTGCGCTTAGTCGCGTCCCCTCATCGTCCAACTCGTTCCCTGACGTACCAACCCCCTTGTCTACAGCATCAGGAAATCTACAACCGACCTCCGAGTCGTCCGACCCCTCCCCAGCGTAGGCCGGTACTACGCCTCGGACCGCACGCGGACCCACCAATACGGCTCGCGGAACAAGCTACAGAGTCTGAAGGCCCTACCGCCTTCGCGTCGTTTGTTCCCTCGGCTTATCCGAGAACGGCTCCCCGTCCAGCAATGACGCCGACGGACGCCTTACCCCCGCAGTGAGCGGAGAGCTCGACTACCGACTTTCGCATCGTTTATTTCCTCGGACTATCCGAGAACTGCTCCCCGTCCAGCGAGGGCGCTGACAGGCAATCTCCCCAGCAGCGAGCTGTGACGTCTACCTTCGACCTCGCGTCGGCCGACCCTCGCCCTCGACGAGCCCCCATCTCCTCGGCCCACCTGTCGAGGGGATCCTCCGATCTCACGGGTCGCTTTCCTCCCCGGGGGCCACGTCCCCTACCGGCGACGAGGGCCCCTCGCGCACGACCACCTCGGACGTCTCCCCGGCGACCTCGCGAGTCCCCGTCGCCTCCTCCGCGAGCAGACGATACAATTGAGCTCGCCACGGCGGGTTATTCAACCATCTACGCAGTTCCGCGTCTGTCATCGTCGCTGTATCGCGTCTCTCCACCCCCCTCGGGCAAGGGTCCTCAGTACCCTTCCCGAACCCGACTCCGCGACGCCGGACGCTCCGACCCTCGCCCTCTCGTTCCGCGACCCGAACTCCTCCAGAACGTCCCCCTCCGCCGCCACCTTCGGCGACCCCTTCCCCTCCCCTCAGTAATTCCGGTTGGTCCAGGCGGAGCGTTCCGCTCTCGAGTCGGACCCAGTTGCCATGGTCCGGGCGCCCAGCGTCATGCTGTCTCCCAGGGGAGTAGTGCCTGCTCCGGGGGTTGTCAAAATGATGGCCCTGGGCGTAAGGGACGCGCGACCAGTCGATGTCCCCGTGGAGGGTCAGGAGGACCTGTAACTGTCGCTGTGCTTCGGCGCTACCCAGAATGCGCGTCAAGTCCAGTCGGGGCAACCACTCCATGACCATGGTCGGGAGGATAAACAGCCGTCCCCTCGTGGGCGTACGTCAAGAACCGCCCCGCAACTAAGGCGAGCCACTCGCTGAGGAAGACCATACAGCGTGCGGACTGAGGGTCTTCCATGAGGCTCAGTCCAAAGTACACCACGCACGGGGGAATTTCCGCAATGAAGTCCGCAGGGACTTCATACTGCGCAAACCACGCCGGTATCTCAGGATACCGCGTGCTCAGCACCGTCCGTTCGAATGTCTTTACCTCCACCCATTCGTACGCGACGAACACCCCCGTCCGATTGCGCATGCGTCGCTCAAACTTGAGCTTGGTATGCATCGCGGGGTCGCGCCTCCGATCTGGGGATGGAGGGTAATTCTCTGGCAACAGAGGTCGGTCCCAGGCTATCACGGCCACCGAGGGTTCCTCCTCCCGGATGCGGAGATCATCAAAAATTCGTTTCAGATTCGCAACGTACCCCCGGTCCCCATCCGCCCGATACGCCCAGGTGTCCAGGTCCCAAGCCGGAGGGACGAGCCTGCTGCAGGGGGTACGGCGTATACGTTGCCGAATTAATTCCACGAAGGCCACACGGGCCTCGGTTTTCACCCGTCTGAATTCCGGACGTAACAGAGCCGGCTCCACGACCAGGCGGTGCGTGAAGTCGCGAGAGCCGACGGCCGCCACGCTCAAACCCCCAGGGAGTTCCCCAGTGGACGTCGCGTACGAACAGATCAATTCGGCGTCGCGCAAACCCTCCGGCGCCATGAAAGGGGCTCGCTCAAAGAGTAGCGCATCGTCGTACAAGTTCCGACCCCATAAGTCCCGGGGACGGGGCCACAGATCGCCCTGACAGGACGAAACCCCTCCGACGGAGTACCCCGGTGCGTGCATCTCGCTCCCGTCGAGGTACAGTACGGGATCGGGTCGAAGGACCGCTCTCCGAAGTCAGAATCCCGGCCATGTCAAGGGGGACGGGTTGCTACAGCGTCCCTCACGCGTCGTGCGCTCCGCGTGCGCACCGGAGTCTGATGGTTCCACGAGAAGAAGCGTGAGTCGTCGTCGCGGTCCGGTGACCGCCGGCCCATTCTCAGAGACGCGCGGCCCCCTATACGCTTCCGCCATCTACGTTCCGCCTCCGGTCCTGGCTGCCGGGAGATCGGGAAATTCCGCGACGGTACACGGACCGCCAGTATTAGGGTTCGCGGGGACCGTCTGGATTAAGGGGGAGTTTTATGAGACATACGTACCGCCCCGACTCACGGCCCCTGTGCGGGGACATCTGCCCCCGGTCGGGACACCTGTCCACGTAGAGCCAACCCGAGCTCGAGTAGCTCCTACCCTCCGGTCGGGCTGACCAAGCTCACCCCGCACGCTCGTAACGACGCACCTTCGGCTCGAGGTGTCGCACCGCGCGCGTGAACGCGAAGAAAGGAGCGTACGCGAAGCAACGCGCTCGCGAATAAGAAGACCGGTGGATGGGCTTACGTTGCGCTCACGGCCCGGGCCAGTACGCACGCGAAAGGGGCGTCCTCGTGCGCAGGACAAAGCGCGTGTACGGGGACGCGCTCAGGACGCGACTACAAGAAAGTGGGTGAACCGCCGCGGTCGTGAGCGAGGAATCACGTGCGCCTGGGGCGTGCTACGACACGCCGAAGGAAGCGCGGGGCAACCCCCGCGCGTCGGCATGGGCAAGTGTGCCGGTACGAAGCTCAGGTCCGTGGCGCGAAGACGTGACCACCGGCGATCCAGTGGATGCCAGAATTAGCGTTCGCGAGGACGCTCTACTCAAAGAGGGGGGCTATGTAGTGCACTGACACCCCTCATCTTCTCATTCGGGACACCTGTCCCCGGCCAGCGCGGCTCCCCCCTCCGGTGCACACTTGTACCTCACGCCACGTGTAACCGGGCACCAAGGCCCCTGTGTCCAGGTGTCATTCCCCACGTGTAAGGTTTCTCATACCTCCCCAAGAGGAGTTTCTCCGGCCACCGCCGCCGTCATTTTTAATTTAGTATTTTTAGTTTTATTAATTATAGCTCCGACGTCGGCTAGTATATAGCCGACGTCCGACTCTAAGTAAAACGATACGAATCTTTGGGTCTACAACTCGGGTTTCTGGAACGGAGTCGTAGCCTCGCGTCGGTCCCCGTCCCACGACGGTACCCTGCGAGCCATCTACGTCCCGATTCCCTCCTGCCTCTACCGCGCGCGTCGTCCCGCCACGCTCGGCTCTCCGCGCGACAGCTGTCCCTACCGCTCCGCCCCTCCTGGGCTCTGTTTCCCCACAATTTTCCTTACTTTCCCTACTGCGCTTCGCGCCCGGCCCCGTACTGGTCCCTTACGGGTGGTCTCCCGATAACCCCCCTACACGCGCCCCCGAACGCGCGCGCTCTGCCAGAGGGGGATCCCACCCTTCCCCTTCAGTGCACGACACCTCTAAGTTTTCCTTCCATCCCTCGATTACCCCCTGATTGCCAACATGCCGGCCTTGTTGTCCACCTATTGCCGACGCAGTCCAATCGACCAGGGGAGGTTCGACCTCCCCGTTCTCTCCAGATACCGTCAAAAAGAACGATGGCGCCGCCAGCGTCTATCGCATATTACTCCGTGCCCACGGAATGAATGAGGGGGCTCTTCGAGGAGCGTCCCTTGTTGACCTGCGCTTACTGGCGCAACTTGTCGCCTCACTTCCAAAGAAAAATTTCCTTGGGTAAATCGTCCCATTGACCCATTGCCGATGGTAGCGCCCTGCCGATCCATGTTCGGATCGTTGTCCTCGGAGGGTGTCGTCTCATCGTCGACACTTCCCTTCGTTCCACGGAAAATAAATTGCATTTCCGTTTCCTGACAACTTCCTCTTCTTGTTTGCATTTTTCCTCTCTTTTTCCAACACATGCTCATCCTTCTCCTCATTTTCCTTTTCCTCCTCTTTATCCCTCACGTCATGCTCGTTCTTCTCCTCATTTTCCTTTTCCTCCTCTTTATCCAACACGGCATGCGTCCCGGGCTGCTGGCTGGGATGCGGAGGGTCCTTCGTAGCACGTTATGGTCCTCGTAATTCTCGT